TAGTCTGGAGCTTTACAAAGGCAAAGCATGATCTGAGAATGATTATGCAAATAAACTATATGCCACTTATTAAAGGCTTGCTGTGGACAAGAGAGACGTGGTGAATTGTAATGCATGCGACTGGGCACTGGCTTTTCAGTGCCCGTGGCAGTTGCTTTAAAATGTCTGCCTCTTGATGCCAGGGCGAGACAGTGGGCTTGTGGACAGTGTTTCCCAATGACTTAGCTGCTGCAAACTGCATCAGGTGTAAACTTTTGCTTACTAAGCTGTGCCAGACCAGCGGGGCTTCTCTGGAACTGTGTGTCTTAGGCACTACCCTCAGCGTCTGAGCTGCACCCCACTTGCGTTCCATTACTGTGCTTTCTGTAGGCACACGTGTTCCTGTTCTCATGACCAGAACCCCCAGTTCTGTGATGTCTTTGCTGTCCTCTGTTTTCAGAGGAAACGTTCAGTGAGAAGACACTCAGGTCATCATGATTACTGGGGCAGAAAGGCTTTATTTACTTCAACCCGGTCACAGTGCATTTTTGACAGAATGGACAGTAGGATTTTAATGTCTTCCGAGAAGATAATTTTAAAATCCGGGGCTTTCTGTTTGATGTTATAAGAAGTGTTTCCAACCCTGGCCGTTTTGGCTCAGCGGTTAGAGTGTTGGCCTGCGGTCTGGAGAGACCTGGGTTCAGTTCTCGGTAAGAGCACGTACCTCGGTTGCAGTTTGTTCCAGGCCCTGATTGGGTCGTGTGGGTGGCAACTGCTCGATGTGTCCCTTTCACGTCGATGTTTCTCTCTCTTTCTCTCTCTCCCACTCTATCTGAACAAAATATCAAAAAATGTCCTTGGGTGAGGATTAAAAAAAAAAAAGAAGAAGAAGTGTTTCCAGTCCTTTGAATCTTAAGTTACAGGGCGGCTTGGGCAGATCACCCAGACTGGGTTCGAAGAGTCTGTTCTTAGGCAGGTGCTCTTCAGTGAGCTTGTCTTTCAAACCGTTTTTGCTGAGTGGACGAGTTCTCCTGACCCCGAGGTTTTTGTCCCCTCCCCATTCTTCTATCATCAGAAAGTCATTTCTTTGTGCAGCTCCTTGGGAGAGTTTGTGAGCTGAAGGGATACACATTGTATCACACACTGGACCACTGTGCCCACATTCTTTCTTTAAAGCGCAGAGGAGTCAGGACGACACCCTTCCCCATGTCCTTTGCTCTTTTGTGTGTATGTGTGTTTATGCCTTGTGATGTTCCACAGCAGATTTTAGACAAGTTTTAGGGATTATATTGGATGAAACAAAGAAATGGACATTAAAACCAAGCTGATGAAAGTGTGCTCTAAGCCGAAGGGAAGCGGTGCAGTTATGAAGCTGTTAGGGCCACATGTCATTCCAGGACAGTGCAGTGCTTCGTTTTCTCTGTCTGTCGGGGCTCAGTTTTACCTGTTGATTCTGTGGGGCTGCAGCATACAGAACAGTGTGATTTGGGCACAGTGCTTGACAGAGTCACCAGTGAGACAGGAAAACAGGGAACATACCCTGTGTGTTACGGCAAAGGTGGCTTTCAAACTAGTAGGGAAAAGGTGGATTAGTCAGTACTGTCTTTGAGGTGGGGATAAATGTAGGCTCCTGCTCACACCAAAGTAAAATCTGATGTTTTGACAGTGAATTATAAAACCATAAACGACCACACAGGGAAAACAAGTGGCTGGATACAGATGTACAGTTACCTCATCTCATAATAAGGAAGATTTTAAAGGAAGAGAAGAAAAAATAAAATTCCAAAGGAAAAATTGTCAGACTATGTAAAATTATGTAGTTTTCATACATAAAAAATGAGAGAATTCTTTTTTTTTTTTTTTTAATAAATCCTTACCCAAGGATATTTTTTCATTTATTTTCAGATAGAGTGGTAGGGAGGAGAGACATCAATGTGAGAGCGACCCATCAATTGGTTGCCTCCTGCACGACTCTGACCAGGGCTGGGGATGAACCACAACCAAGGCATGTGCCACTGGCCGGAATTGAAACCACGATTCATTGGTCCGTGGGCCGACGCTGTAACTGCTGAGCCAAACCAGCCAGGGCCTAATGAGAGAATTCTTATAATTTATTAGAAGGCCTGGCCGGTTTGTCTCAGCAGTTAGAGCGTCGGCCTATGGACTAAAGGGTCTCGGGTTTAATTCCCGGCCCCAGTAGAGGTTGTGCAGGAGGCAGCCAATTGCTGTGTTTCTCTCACATCGATGTTTCTCTCCCAGCCCCCTTCCTCCCTCTCTTCCACTCTGTAAAAAAAAAATCGACTAAAATATATCCTCTATGAGGATTACCAAGAAAACAGAAAAAGATGAAAGCCTCCAATAAAAAGTTTTTGTTTGTTTTTTGTTTTTTTATCCTCACCCGAGGATACTTTTTGCATTCATCTTCATATAGAGTGAGAAAAAGAGAGGGAGGAAGAGAGAGAGAGAAACATCGATGTGAGAGAGACACCTCGACTGGCTGCCACCCACACGACCCCTACCCAGGGCGGAGGACAAACTGAAACTGAGGTACGTGCCCTTAGCGGGAACCGAACCCGAGTCTCTCGGGACCACAGGCCGACGCTCTAACCGCTGAGCCAAATCGGCCAGGGCACCAATAAAAATTTTTAAATAGAGGACAAAAAATAATTAACAAAAAGACAAGTATAAATGGCAACTTTACTTTGAAAAAGGTAAACTAAATCCATTTAAAAGAATATTTTTATACTCTCAAAGTGGGATGGGAAGGTCCTTCTGAATTTGACACAAGATCCAGATGTACTAAAAGAAAAGTGATAGGTTTTAAAATAAAAGTGAAAACATTCTTTATGACCAAAAAAAAAATTTAGATAAGCAACAAATGGAAAATTTATTTGCAACATATTATGATCATAAGTTAACATACTTATTATTATTAAAGAGCCTTATAGATCAATGAGAGAGAAAAGACAAACCTCTTCCAACAGAAAAGTGGGTAAAAGGGTCACTGTGATAATCCAAGAAAAGGCAAACACACATGGCCAATAAGTATATAAAACGGTATTTAATTATACCAGTAATAAAAGAAATGCAGCTTTTACTGATATCATTTTTAGCTGTCGAATTGGTAAAGATTTTTAAAAATGAGATTATCCATTGTTTGCAAAAGTGCAGAGAAACTTTTTCTAGGACTATAAATTGGTTTAAAATATTTCTTCTGGAGGGCAATTTGAATTTGGCAGTGTCTGTCAAAATTCTTGAAATGGTTTTATCCTTTGGTCAAAATGATTGTACCTAGAAGTTTATCCTCAGAGAGAGGAGGATGTGTTCCATACAGCTGTCTGTGAGCTTGGCTTTGCTCTTGAATACCTCCTATGTTTCGGGGTCCAGTCTGCCTATGTCTTTCATGTGGACTATGACCTCAGCTTCATGACCCATCATCTCCACTCCAGACCTTTATTACATTGTCTCTACTCTTAACCAATGTATTCAATGAGACCCAGTTTTTAGGAATCTATTAATTATGTGACTAAGGTACAACTATACAGACAAGTGGATGGTTACAACCGGCTCCCTTCACCATCTCCCCTAGACTCAGGGCATCAGGAAACCATGGGCACCTGGCTGCTTGTTGAATGAAGGAGTGCTCACGTTAGACCTGTGCTCCTCATCCCTGGCTGCCCGTCAGAACTGCCCACATCTCGCATCTCCTGGGGAGGAACGTACAGCGATCGCTTTTGAAGATGTGCAGGTGGTTCTGCTGCTGACACTGTAGGACCCCTGCTGTAGCTGTCCCAGACCCACCTGCAGAACTTGTGAGAGTGGCTGGACCCCACCCGAGCTTCTGCTGAGTGGGGATGGGCCAGGGCCTGGGAGTTTGCATTTCTACAGCGTTCCCAAGTGACACTGATGCCATGGGTTCCTGGTTCAGTATGGAGAACGGCTGTCCTAAGGACTGGCTGCAGGGACCAGATCAAAACATGTCCATGCAGGGTTTATGCAGCGATGTAGCCAGACCCACCTCACAGGCAACGCAGCTTTTACCAGTCCCCAGAGCACCCAGAAGAGCGCCTGTGGAGTCCGCGTTCCCAGATGCTTTGCTTTCTTTAATCCTCACCTGAGGATATTTTCCCATTCATCTTCAGATAGAGTGAGAGGGAGGGGAGAGAGAGAGAGAGAGAAAGACAGAAACATCGATGTGAGAAAAACGTCAGCCAGCTGCCTCCTGCACGATCCCGACCAGGGCCAGGGATGAACTGCAACCGAGATACGTGCCCTTGAGTGGAATTGAACCTGAGACTCATTGGTCCTCGAGCTAATGCTCTAACTGCTGAGCCAAACTGGCCAGGGCCCAAACACTTTTTTTAAACAGTGGCATATATATGTTTTAATCCCTAAGAGAAAAACATTTCTTTGATCAACTTGACCTTAGACTGTGTACTCTGGTTGCTCCTCTGTGGGGCTCACTGTCCGTGTCCATGCCGTCTCCCAGCTGCTGGGGTGCCCACTCCCCAGATGTCTGCGGTTCCGTCTCCCAGGGAAGGTGTTCCTCCTGTGGGCTCCCTTCTCCCGTCATCTCACTTCCTAGGCCAGGACGTCTGGCAACGGGAGCTTTGACAGACCCCTTTCCTGGGTGTTAGTCAAAGACTTTCAGATCCACAAGTTCCCAGGTGTTATCTAGTCTTCGGCTATTAAGGCATCATCAGACAGACTGGTAAGTCTGTTCCATTGTCTGCGGCTGCGACTGAGAAGTTGGTGGCAAGTGTGGGTTCACGGGTGTGGTCTTCCTGTAGGTCACAGCCTGCTTGTCTGGTGTGGGCCTTGCTGAGGTCACAGCCTGCTCTGGTGTGGGCCTTCCTGCGGATCACACCCTTTGTCTGGTGTAGGCCTTGCGCCTCATGCGTGGCTTCTTCCTAGTGAATTCCAGTCCATGCCGGTTGCTTTGTGCCACTCATTTTACGTATTTTAATTGTTTGGAGAGGAGCTGCTGAGGTTTTATAAATGGTGTTTTCTCCTCCTGTTAGGTCTCTCTGCAATGCAATCAATGTTTACAACCTCACCTGCAATAACTGTTCAGAAAACTGCACCGATGTTCTGTTTAGTAACAAGATTACCTTCTTAATGGACCTCCTGATACACCAGTTGACGGTATGTAATATTGTTGCTTTGAGTTAGAAGCCGTTAAGGTCTGAGAAATATTCCCTGTGGAGAAAACGAAAGAATTCAGCTTGCTTCCTCTCCAGATGGGAAGAAAAAAGTGGAGACGACTGGGAGAGTGAAACAGGGACCAGCAGAGAAATCTCTGATTTGAAAATCTCATACTGGATTCTCCTGAGTTCCAATATTTAATGATAATGCGTTTGTAACACTTGCCAAGACTGTAAGTGTCCGTGGTTGGACTGGGGCTTTGCAGTCGTTTGGAGTCAGCCAGACCTGGGAGGCCCAGAGTGAGTGCTGTGGAGGGAGAGAGCTGGGACGCCTCGACCTCTCTTGCCAGCTCAGTTTAACAGGGTCAGTTTAAAGAGGAATTTTTGATGGCCATTGACTTTTTTTTCCAAGCAAGGAAGTCCTCTGTCAGTTGTACTTTTGAAATGGGAACAAGCAGCAATTATAGCCTGAGTGTTACTTCAGCCCATAGAGGCTGGAACAGGGAAGCTTGTGTAATGTTCCGAGGCTTCAGTCTGTTGACTGTGGTCTCCAGAACACAGCCCAGAGCCAGAGGTTCCTGGTGAAGTTTCTGAGTCCCCGGGGCATTGGCACCAGCCACTCTGAACTGTGAGTTACAACCAGGAGATTTATTTCTCAGACTGATTAATTTTCACTCGGCACGCTGTTCCAATACCTCTCTCGGCTGCGTGCCTGCTGCTCCCCCGCCCTCCGCCTGGTTCATGTCTACACACCATGCAGACCCTGGCTGACACGTAATGGCGCCTTCTTCCTGACCTTCCCAACCTCGCTGCTCCTGAGTCAGGGCAGGTCTTTGTTTTTGTTTGTTAGTACTCACCCAAGGATATTTTTTTAATGATTTTTAGAGAGAGTGGAAGGGAGAGAGGGAGAGAGAGAAACATTGATGTGAGAGAGACACATCAGTTAGTTGCCTCCCATACAACCCTGACCAGGGCCAGGGATCAAACCTGCAACCCTAGTAATGTGCCCTGGACCGGAATCAAAACCGCAACCGCAACCGCAACTGCAACCCTTCGGTCCACGGGCCGCGCTCTAACTGCTGAGCCAAACCAGCCAGGACTGGGTAGGTGTTCTTATGTGCTCCTTGACCTACCTCTTTCATAGAACTGATCACATTGAATTGTCATTAACTATTTAATGACAATTAAATATGGCTCTCCCCTGGAAGCCATACAGTCAGCAAGGAGGACTTATCACTGTCTCTGAGACCCAGACACAGGGCCTGTCGGTGGAGCATGTCAGTGACGGACGCACGCATGGAGGAACGGTGCACCCGCACACGTCTCCCCGGCAGTGAGGTGTGAGATCACGGGGTCAGCATGTGAGGCTACGTTATATGTGGTTTCATCTATGAAAGTAGGCGTTGCAGAAAACTCTGTCAGAAATAGTTGAAAGGCAAGGACAAGGAGAAAAGACGTAGCGTTTGTTGTATGGCCTTTATTCCAATCATCTCATTATATATTGCCTCATTTAATTTAAAAACATAAAGTCAGCATTATTATCCCATTTCACAAATGATGAAACTTGAGTCTCAGTGGGATTGTCTGCCAAACGCTACACAGGTGGTAAATCCCAGAGCCCAAGTTAAACCCAGATTCTACACGACTGACGGGCCTTCTCAACACTGTCAATGTCACGAGAGACAGATTGGGGAGCTGTTACAGGTTGGGGAGACCAAGAAGATCTGACCATTAAATTAATGTGAACCCTGGCTGATATTGCTCAGTGGTTAGAGCGTCGGCCCACACACTGAAGGGTCAGGGGTTTGATTCCTGGTCAAGGGCACATACCTGGGTTGCAGGTTCAATCCCTGGGCCCCAGTCGGGGTCGTGCAGGAGGCAGCCAGTTGATGTATCTCTCTCACACTGATGTTTCTCTCTCTCTCCCCGCCTCTCCCTTCCACTCTCTCTAAAAAAAAATCAATGGAAAAATATCCTCAGGTGAGAACTAACAAACAAAAAACTTTCCCAGATAAACAAAAGTGGAGGGAATTCATCACCAGGAGCCCTGCCTTACAAGACATTGTAAAAGGAGCTCTCCCGGTAGGAACAAGAGACACCGAGCCGCACCAAAGCACGTGAGAGTATGAGGCCTGAGGTGAGTGTCGGACAGACACAGAGCACCCAGGGTTCGATGGGGGTCAGTTCTGGTGTGGTAACTGTTACAGTATCTTAATATGACTACAATATGAAAATACACACTTTGTAACAACAACATAGGGGTGAGAAAAAATGTAGAGTATTTGTGTATGATTAAAGTTAAGTCGTTATCAGCTTAAAATAGGTTATTATAACTATACGATGTTTTATGTAAGCCAATGGTCCCCAAGAAGAAAATACCCGTAATAGATACGCAAAAGAAATGGGAAATTCAACCGTGTCACCGCAAACGTCAGCAGCAATGAAGACCACAGCAGTGGGCTTCGGTGCCCACCGCACTCATGCATGGGCATCCAGAAGAAAGTTGGTGAGGAGACGGTTCGAGTAACAGTGTTTCTAGTATCCCACCCAGCTGCACCAAAATGCACATTCTTCTCCAGTACACCTGGGATGTTCTCCAGGGCAGATCACACACTAGGTCACAAGAAGAGTCAACAGATTGAAGAAGATTGATGCCATACCAAGTATGTTTTCTGTCCACATTAACATGAAAACATATCAGTGGCAGAGGAAAAACTGGCAATATTACAAATACGTGAAAATTAAACAGTATACGCAGAAAAAAACCAGTGAGTCAGAGAAGAAATTATAGGAGCAATTAAGTAATTTCTTGAGACCAATGAGAACATAACTCACCAAATGATGGGGCTGCGCAGCGAGAAACACCTGTGTCAGAAGGGGGAGGTCTCAAATATACCACCCAGCTCCCCGCTGTGAGGAACCAGAGAAGGAAAAGCTCACCAAGCCCAGGATTTGCAGATGGAAGGAAGCAATTAAGATTGGAGCAGACTAGAGGATACAACGGACAGGCCAGCAGAACAGAAGAGGACCCAGCCATGAGCCCAGGCGTGCCCAGCCAGCACTTGACGAACGCGGCGAGAACACACAGAAGGAAGAGGATGGCCCCTCCGTGCATGCTGGTGGAGAGACGGTACTCACACAGAATAGTGCAACTGGACCCTGGGCTTACACCATCCCAATACCAAGTCAGAATGAATTAGACTGACATCCTAGGAGAGAATATTAGGAAAAAACTCCTTGGCGGGGTTCCTAGCGATGGCTATTTTGGATGTGACACCAAAGGCACGAGCAACAGAAGCGGCGAAAGACCCAACCCCAGTGGGACTCCATCAAACTGAAAACCTCCGTGCAACAAGGAGACCGTGCACACGGTGAAAAAGCAGCCTACGAGATGAGGGAAAGTACTTGAAAACCAGATATCTGATAAGGGGTTCATACCCACAATATGTAGAACACGTCCCTACAAAACAGTTACTCATCACACAGTGAGAGTAGCTTCCCATTGGAGAAGCCTAGTCAAGGGTCATGGGAACAGCATCTGTGATGACAGCTGACAGGGTCTGCGTCTGATAGGCTGCAGGGGAACCAGCCTGCTTCTGGGTCGCTCTTGCCAGAGCCGCACGGTCCGAGTCTGATTGGACGTGTCTAGCAGCCATACTGGGACATGCCTTAGAGTAACCTGCAGTCTTCAAACAGTGCGAGTTCAGGGAGTTATAGGAATAGCCGGATGGGCAGAGGCAGGCCCAGCAGATGCAGCGTTTATCTGGGTATTCCCCCACCTTTCCTGAACTTAAGACTCTGTACATGCACAAACACGTATTTTAAAGAAGTACAGAGGTACGAGTTCTATAAACCTCGAATGATTTGCTAAGTTATGTGGTTTCAACCAGCTCCGTGCGTGGGCCACAGTAGCTGAAACACTTGGTAATTTAAACACCGGGGCTTGTTTCTGAGGGCTTGAGTATGGCCTTCAACTTAAAAACATTTCCTTATTGGAAAATGGTTGTTCTTATAAAAGGAAAGTGAAGCTTGCATTGTGGCCTGTATACCTATAGCCGTATAATTGAAACACCTTTAAAATATTTGCAGAGGAATTTGTAAAACAGCTCTTTAACTTCAGTTATTAAAGTTCCTTAAAGGCGATGGCAGCTGTTCACTGTACGTCTTGTTCCAGTTTGAACAGTGTGCTGTCATTTCACACGAAGATTTGGGAAAGTGTGTTCGTGGTTGCGGACGGGAGCCTATCGTCTCCGAGTTGTCGGTGGTAAAATGTAGCTGCAGGAAGAAAGCGGCAGCTGACAGCACAGAGGTGATCGTCAGCAACTGAAGGGAACAACTCTCTCTCCCTTTGCGTCTCGGGAAGAGAGGCTGCGAACAGAAGCCCAGCATGGGCAAGACTCACACTGTGTGCACGCAAATCCACGAATTGGAAAGCAGAGACGAGAGGGAGACCTGGGAGGAGACCCGAGGCAGAGACGGAAGGGGCCAAGGAAGGAGCCAGCTCAGACCCTCCCTGCAGCAGTACCTGTGTCTGTCCTGAAGCCCAATGCAGCGCCCTCAAGCTGGCTGCGGGCCTCCGGCTTTCCAGTGAGTGGAAGGAGCAGACGTGAAAAGGGGCACATATGCCTCTGAGTTCTCGGGTTCTACAAGAGGTGGGAAGTGGGCTCACCCATCCGCTGTGGTTGGCCTCTGTGTGCTCAGCACGCTCCCCCTTGACAGCAGAGAGCTGGGGACCAGCAGCAGCCCTGGGCCTCCCGAACGCCTCTGGCCGCAGCAGATGCATCGCGGTCGTCTGGAGACAACACTGCGGGTGCAGTTGTCCCTGAAGGGCACCTGACTTCCCCTTGAGTCTGACAGCACTGCCAGGCAACCCCTGACTCTGAGGCTGTGCGTCAGGTTTGGAGGGTTCTGACGAGCATGTGCCCTGCATCCTGCAACCTCTCTCCAGGCTCTTGACCCAAGGGAAAGGAGACCCTTCCCCTCAAAGACTATAGGCACGGTCCTCTAAGCTTTGTTCACGAGGAACTGAATTCTCTAACAGCAAAGGTGAAGTGAGAGGCAGGTGTGGCAGTCCACATGGTGGGGTAATATTTGTCAACACACAGGCTAGACCATGACCCTTGTAGCATGGGCGAGTTACCCAGAATCCGCGGAAGCAGCTTGGCGGGGGGGCAGATTCAGAGTCTGCCGGCTTCCATGACTCGGCAATCGGAAACTCGAGAGCAGTGGAGCAACCCCTGCAAAGCAGACGAGCCCTCCCTGGGCCCTGTGAGTGGGAGCTGCGTTGTGAGGTGCACAGGGAGCTTCCTGGCAAGGACAGTGTTCTGGTTCTTGACCATGACGGTCCTTACACAGGCGCACACATTTGTCGGAATTTATCAATGCACACACTTAACACAGTGCGGTTTGCAGTAGTTTATTTCTAAAACACACTTTTGCAAATGCGGCCAAAGGACATCAACTGGTGAATCTGGGTAAAGACTGAAGGGCTCGGGTTTGATTCCCAGCAAAGGGCACATACCTGGGTTGCAGGTTTGCTTCCCAGCCCCCAGTCGGGGTCCTTTGGGAGGCAATCAATCGGGGTGTGGGTGTGGGTGTGTGTGTGTATGTGTGTCTCCCTCTCCTTCCCTCCTTTCCACAAGATCTAAAAAAAAAGAAAAGGTAGTTTGGAAAAGCTTATAGATACGGTGGCATTTCAGACCTGGAGATGTGGGTCACGAGGATGCCCAGAGAAGAGCATTCCAGGGGCACATGGACGGAGTGTGGTATGTGAGAGTGGAGGGGATCAGACCAGCGACACATCAGGAAGGGCCTCACTGGGTCTCACAAGGTTTGGGCTTTTCCTGAGCAGGAGAGGAGGCGCCCATGGGATAGTGTGATTCAATATTCATACCACAGATCTGAAAGCATCATACTTACAAAGCTTTTTCAAATTATGTTATTTGGGACTTAGGCTGCATAAAATAGATACACAGACTGGAAGGCATAATAAATATATTTAAAAGGGTAATGACATTGGGATAGGATATAATGCCCTCTTTAGTATTAATTGTAGAAATTTTACAAAGATGGTGTTGAAAACCTGTTAGCCGTTCCTATGCATTTTCTTTTTACACTTTCAAACCAAGTAAGTCATCACGGTTACTGCCTGTGATGAGTCGTGTGTTTATGTACCACATAACATGGACACCGGTGTTTTATAACCATCACTGGTGAGAAGACTGTTGCGTGTCTAAGGACACTTTGGCTAATGGACATACACTAGTGACAACGGCGTGGAAACCGCTCTCTGCGCCGGGCCCTCCCCTGGGTGGGGCGCTCTTCCCTGCACTCACGGCACTGTTCCGGAGCCTTCCGCATCATCAGCTCTCGGCTCTAAGTGAACACACTGCCACGTAAGAAGCAGTGAGCCCAGCTTCACACTGAAAGTCAGTTCGGCAGGGTCACCACTGCTCACCGAGGTGGCCCTCTCGGGGAGCAGTGTTGCAGGGCTGGATGTGCACCACTGATAAAAACATCTCCCTGTATTGCGAAACAGAGAGCAGGATGTTTTTGAGACCACTTTGATGTTAGGAAGTAGTGGAGAGAAAAGAATATGAGTTTGTCTTTTAAAAGCGATGATGCTTAATCATTTAATTTTGCTAAAACACTTTGCCTCAAGGGCTTGGTCCCATAAATACTGAGTTTCTCCTGGGAATCCTAGTAAGAAGAGCCATGGTAGGTGCAGGTAGCACTTCTGTGGGGCTGACCTGTGTCCCAGATGCTGCTTTAGGAATTCATATGTGTTGATTCAGCAGGAACTGAGGCACAGGAAGGTTAAGGAACTTGTGCCCAAGCTCCGGTTCTGGCTCCCCATCCCAGCTTTTCATGACCTAGTCAGTACTTCCTGCAGACTACACAGAGATCCGAACGTGACCCTCATTAGGAGAAACTGTTTTACCACTTTGTAATAAGAAATATAAATGTCATCCTAACAGAGGAATTTACATTTGACAGTGCTGTCAGTTTATCAATTGGCTTGTTTTCTGAATTCATACCTATTTTTAATATAATGTATTCAATTGAATAAATAATATTTATTAAGCACTTACTGTATGCCTAGGTATGAGCCAAATTTTGTATATGTACTAGTTCATTTAGGCCTCCCAAGAGCCCCATGGTTTAGGTACTGTTGTTACCCCATTTTACAGATGGGGCAGTTAAAAGGGTGGAGGTAGACCTACCCAGGGTCCCCCAGCGAGCGGGGCAAAGCTGAGGTGTGAATTGGCAGTCCCACCTCACGACAGACACCTGCATGTTCAGATGCCACCTGCAGACCTTCAAGAATTACTCATGGGTCCCATCATCTCTGTCCCTTTTTGGTGGTTTTATTTAAACACAATTACTGTATTTATTTCCACTTAGGTTTATGTTCCAGATGAAAATAATGCTGTTTTGGGAAGAAATACAAATAGGCAAGTTTTTGAAGGCTTGACAATGGGACTTCTGAAAGTCAGTGCTGTGGTTTTTGGCTGCCTGGTTGCCAGTCGACCAAATGGAAACAGCCAGCCCGCTGCACCGAAAAACGCTACAGAGGAAATGAAAAACAGACCCTCGCAAGGTGATGCTTTCAACAGTCGCGTTCAGGACCTCATCAGGTAAAACTGTCAGGTTTTTTTAAACTTTCTTCTATGTTACAAAAAAAATGTATGTGAAGAACATTTGACTCTCGGGGCCCACGTGACGGCAGGGGTTCTCCCAGCGCCACCCGCAGGTTCCTGCCGGAGCAGACACCACCTCTGTAGAGGAGGGAACTCTTGTTGATGGAAAGTAGTTAGCCTCCTCTGTCGTTCTGGATATGTAGGTATTTGAGATGCATGAGTCGTGTCCGAGCTTTTATGACTTTCTTGCTCTCGTCCCTTTTCCACTCAGAATTCCTGAGAATTCTTCTACCCAAGATCATCTCTGGTTATAAATATGGTTCAGACCTAAACAATAACAACAACTACCGTTTCTGGAGCAGCCGTTATGTGCAAGGTGCTGCTGGACGCTGTCCAGCCCTGTGCTCACAGGGCTCCAGCTCAGGCTCTGGGCAAGGAGCTGGCTCCGGAAGGGGAGGGGCTTTGCCCAGGCTCCTGTCATAAATGAGGTCTGAAGGGAGAGGTGAGACTGGAACTTAGGTCTTGCTGTTCTTCCAACTCACGTGGCAACTTCTGCCACCTGTTCGTCAGGCCTGCTTCCTTCTAAGGTCACCTGTTCCCCAGGGAAATCCCCTCTTACTGTGGCATCTAAACTCTTTCTCATTTGTGAGTCTGGAATCGGGTAGGACGTTCGGTTTCCCGTCCGCGTCTGTCTGGTGTTACTCAGTCACCTGTCCCACGTACCAACCTCTCTGTGCTCTGTGCTGATATCAGGCTTCTAGACTGCGTGTGTTTTTCGGATCTGAGGCCAGGGGGGCAGGGGATTAACTAGGAGAAAGACAGTTTGGGTTTGTTCTTCTGCATTTACTTCTGCATGTCACCAAGCTCCCTCTGGTTTCTCAGGAAAAGCTGTTTTGTTAAGGATCGTTCTTACCCTGGTTACTGAGCTCACTTATTCCTCCCTCCGCCTGCCCTCCTTCCCTGAGAATGTTTATTGCTGGAGAGTGTGGGCCCTTGGGTCACACCATTTATCTTACCGCACTTGACTCCTGCCCTCCTGCCTCATCGCAGCTGCTGGATCCCATTTGGTGTCCTCTTGGTCATCGTGAAACCTCCCTCTCTGCTGACAGGCACCCTCTTGTCCCTGCTCCTCCCTGGGCCCTGTGACGCCGAAGGCCCAGCCGGATGCTTTCGTGTAGTTCCAGGGGCTTCCAGGGAAGCGACCTTCCTTCGCCACACACACTGTCATAGCTCGAGCTCCTTTGTGAAGGAAGGAGGTCCTGGGGAGAGACCCATGCTGCTCTCGGCCTCGAACCACTTCCGGTGCGTGTCAGGTTCTGTAGACGGTGCCTGGCTATGGACCCTCGGGCTACATCGCAGATCTGCCTGAAGGAGCAGCAGAGCATGTTTGATACTCATGCTCTCTCCTCGGACGGGCAGCCACAAGGCCACTGTGCTCCCTGCACGACCCGGCCTCTGTGCAGTGCGTACAGCGGGGCAGGGAGTCCCTGCCTGCGCCCCTGGCGGCAGAGCTGCAGCAGGACTCCCCTCCATGACGGGCGTCACCGCCTTCTCATCGGGTGTTGTGCCTTTTCAGAAGCTTTTCTGGTCGGTCGAGCTGACCACATGATGCTCGTTCTCTAGTAGCTTCTGTGCGGTGTTGTGTGCACTGGTTTGCGGTGCTGAACGTCCTTGCACCCCTGGAACGACCACTGGGCTGTGCTGAGATCCTCTGGATGTGCTGGTGCCTTGGATTTGCTAGTATTGTGCTGCAGGGGTTTGCATCTGTGTTCCTCAGCGATATTGGCCTATAATTTGAGTGTGTGTGTGGTCCTTGCCTGGCTCTGGTATCTGTGAAGTGAATTGGAAGCATTTCCTCCTCTTCAGTATTTCGGTGGAGTTTGAGAAAGATATTCAGCTTTTGAATGTGTGGTAGGATTGACCAATGAAGCTATATTGTCCCGGACTTTTGTTTTTTAGGAGGTTTTTTATTACTATTTTACTTTCAAATGGACAAGAACTCATCCGTTTCTTCTAGGTTGTCCACTTGGGCGGCGTGTGGCCTTTCCTCGTGTCCTTCTGTGCTGCTTTGTGCTCCCACGTGTCCACTGCGACCTCTCCTTCGCTTCCTCGCTTATTCATCTGAGTCTTTTCCCTTCCTGTGGGGCCTAAAGGTTGTCAGCCTTATCTTTTCAAAGAATTAGCTTTGTTTTGTTTTCTCTTTGGTCTCTGTTTCTGCTCTGATTTTATCCGTTTCTTCTACTGGCTTCAGGCTTCATCTGCTGCTTTTCTAGTCCCGGGAAGTTTGCTGTGAGGTCGTGTGTTGGGATTCTTGTTCCCAGAGCAAGGCCTGTGCTGCTCTGAGCTCCCCTCCGAAAGCTGCTTTGCTGCATCCCATAGATGTTGGTATGTCATGTGTCCAACGACTCCATGGGGTTTTTGTTATCTTGTTTGATAGCTTTGTTGACCCCATGATTGTTAGCATATTGTTGAATTTCCACATATTTGTGATTTTTCCATCACTCTTGTAGTTGATTCTGATTTAATACCATTGTGGCTGGGAAAGATGATTGCTATAATTCCAGTCTTCCTAAATTACTGGGCCAGTGTGGCTCAGTGGATTGAGCGTCGTCCCGTGGACTGATAGGTTCGATTTCCCGTCAGAGCACAGGCCCGGGTTGCGAGCTCAATCCCCAGTAGGGGGCTTGCAGGAGTCAGGCAAGTAATGTGTCTCTCATGTCGATGTTTCTCTCTCTAAAAAATGAATAAAAACAGCCCTGGCTGGTTTGGCTCAGCGGTTAGAGCATTGGCCTGCGGTCTGGAGAGACCCGGGTTCGGTTTCCGCTAAGGGCACGTACCTCGGTTGCAGTTTGTCCCCGGCCCTGGTTGGGTCGTGTGGGTGGCGACCACTCGATGTGTCCCTTTCACGTCAATGTTTCTCTCTCTCTCTCTTCCTCCCACTCTATCTGAATAAAATATCAAAAAATGTCCTCGGGTGAGGATAAGGAAAAAAAAAAGAATAAAAACATATTTTTTAATCCTCACCTGAGGATATTTTTCCATTTATCTTCAGAGAGAGTGGGAGGGAGGGAGGGAGGGAGGGAGGGAGAAACATCAGTGTGAGAGAGGCACATCAACTGGTTGCCTCCTGAATGACCCCGACCAGGGCCGGGGACCAAACCGCAACCGAGGTACATGCCCTTGGCTGGAGTCGAACCCTCTTTGGTCTGCTGTCCGATGCTCTAACTACTGAGCCAAACTGGCCAGGGCACAAAAACCATTTTTTGTTTTTAATTTTTATTTTTTTATCCTTACCCGAGGACATTTTTCCATTTTTTGTTCAGATGGAGTAGGAGGGAGGGAGGGAGGGAGGGAGACACCGATGTGAGAGACACACATCAAGTGGTTGCCACCCACACAACCCCAACCAGGGCGGAGGACAAACTGCAACCGAGGCACATACCTTTAGCAGGAACCAAACCCAGGTCTCTCTGGACCACAGACCGATGCTCTAACTGTTGAGCCAAACCGGCCAGGGCATGAAAAACATTTTTTAAAAAATGTATTAAGACCTGTTATATGTCCCAACGCATGGCCCATCCTTGAGAAGGTTACATGTGTACTGAGAAGAGTACATGTTCTGTCACTTTGGGTGGAAAGTTTTGTGTACGTTTGTTATGTCCATGTGCTTCGATGTGTCATTAAGGCCGGTGTAACCACGGTGACTGCGTGACCTGCCCATTGGTGTGAGTGTGCTGCATCTGTTTTTCCTTGTAGGTGTGTTGCTTTGTGTAATCGCCTCAGTTGGGTGCACACATATTAGTAAGTGTGTGTCTTCTTGATGGATTGTTCTTTTCATTGTTATGAAATGCTCTTCTTTGTCTTAAAACGTATGTGTCGGACATAGGAATGGCTCTGCCTACTCGTCTCGGGTCCCATTTCATGGAGCATTGTCCCCACGTCTTCACGCAGATCCTGTGTTGTCTTAGGGGCTGAGATGGGTCTCCTGAAGGCAGCACACAGTTGGGTCTTGTTTTTTAATCCATCAAACTGCTCTGTGCCTGTGGGTTGGTGAGTTCAGCCCATTTACGTTCAGGACGACTTGACGGGGAGGCCTTACAGCCGCCACTGTGTCCCACTGTTTCTTTCCTTTGTGTTTCCGTTTGGTGACTTTCTGTGGTGTTTTTCTTTCTCTCCTTTTTTTCAAATGTTCCATGTCTCAGATCTGGTTTTTTGTTTTATAGTTACCATAGGTTTATAGGAAACATCTGAGAAAGAAAGTCTGATAGCATCTTATCTTCATTTGCTTACACAGGCTTAGTTCTTTCTTCTCCCCTTTTATGTTTGTGTCACAAACTGTCCTTATTTACCTTGAGTGTTCTTTACCAAATTCAAGTGACTACAGTTGTTTTAAGGTTTTTTTTCCCCTTTAACCTCTTTGGCCCATCATTGTTTAACATCCTGTTCTGATACAGAGTTGCAGCTTTCTGTTTCTGTGTATTGGTCACCTTATCCACAATTCTGTGTGCTGCTTTTGTTTCAGGTAGTGTAATGGCTCCTTTTAACATTTCTTGTAGCTTTTGTTCATCTGGGAAAGCCTGCATTTCTCCTTCGTGTCTAAGGGATAAGAACAGTCTTGGCTGCTAAGCCCGTCTTGCAGTATTTCAGTGTCATCCAGGTTCTTCTGGCCTGGGGAGTGTCTGCTGGGAAATCTGACCATAGCTAGTGGGTTTCCTATGCAGGTCACTGTCTTTGCTCCATGGCTGCCTTTAGATTCTTTATCATTGACTTGACAACTTCAATAATGTGTTGAGCAAAATCTTTCAGCGTTGAGATAATGACTGGTTCTATCAGCTTCTTGTACTTTTATGTGTAGCATGTTTGGGAAGTTCTCATCTATTAATTTTTTAAGTAGGCACTCTGTTCCCAACCCCCTTCTCATCTGGAATGCCCACCATCCGACGTTGCCCTTTTCTGTGGAGGCAGGTAGTTCCCACAGAGTTCTTTCTTTTTTTTTTTTTTTTTTATCCTCACCTGAGGATATTTTTCCATTTTTTGTACAGATAGAGTGGGAGGGAGAGAGAGGAAGGGAGAGAGAGAGAGAAACATCGACGTGACGGGACACATCGAGTGGCTGCCACCCGCACGACCAACCAGGGCCAGGGACAAACTGCAACCGAAGTACGTGCCCTTAGCGGGAACCGAACCCGGGTCTCTCCGGACCGCAGGCCGACGCTCTAACCGCTGAGCCAAACTGGCCAGGGTGGTCTTTCGTTTTTAAAAAACTGTAGGTCTCTCTTTCACGGGATCATTTGTAGACTTCTGTCTTCTCTCCCGAGTGGTCTGCTCCGTTCCTGGGGCTGTCTAATGCAGTTTCCTCTCATTGTGTTCTGCTCCAGGATTTGCTTGGTTCTTCCCTGTAGTTTCAACCTTGTGGTGGAGTACTCGTTCTGATCCTTAACTTTATTCCTGAGCTCACCGAGCTGCCTTTCTGAGTTTCTTACATCTTGTCGAGCTTCCTTGTGATAATCACTGTGAATTCTCTGTCATTTTTATCACAGTGTCACTTGACTCTGAGTCTGGGTGCTGGAGAACTGTCATTTTCTCTCTGTATGACTGTGTTACTTGGTTTTTATCATGCTCAATGGGCTGTTCCCTGGGGCCCGTTTGAAGGGATGAACCCCACATTTGGGTACTGTTTTGATTATGACAGCAGAGCAGGTAGATATTTAGGCATCTTCCTTCTGTTTTCCAGTAGATGGTGCTGTAGCACAAGCTTCTGTTTTCTCTCACCTGAGCTGCTAGCACCTGGGGGCCAGGCGGCACCATAGTTATGAGGGTTGCCGCCTGGGTGATGGGGAGGCAGGGTGGTGGTTGCCTCTGTTGTATGTGGGTCGCTCGGGTCTCACAGCACCGGCCAGGGGAAAGGGAGATCTGGGTTCATGAGCCTTTCACATGGCTCCCTGGTTCCCCGTGGCTGTTGGCCCTGCTGTGCTCCAGGTGCTCTGGACCCACCTGCCCTGCTGCCTGTCATCCTCCACAGGTCACAGTGCGGGCTGCTCCCGACCCCGCCTCTGTAGGGGTCGCTGGCTCAGCATGGCAGCCAGGGAACAGGGCTGGGTGCCCCGTTCCTGTCTTTCCTCTGCCCCGCCTCCCCCAACAACTCAGCACCCTGCCTTCAGGATGCTTCTCGAGCATCCTGGTGTGTTGGTCAGGGGGACCTTTGTGGGTCCCCTACCAGCTGTCAATTTAAGGGACATACAAAGGGGTCATCTCACTGCACCATCATGCTGCTGTCCCATGTGTCTGTGTTCATGCCAGGACCATCCTGTTTCTATTCCAATAGCTTTGTAATATAGTTTGAAATCAGAGAGCATGACGCCTCTGGCTCTGTACTTGTTTGTCAGGACTGCTTTGGCTATTTGATGTGTTTTGTGGCCCCATGCAATTATTTATTCTATTCCTTCCAAAAAACACCATTGGCATTTTTGTTGAGGGATTGCACAGAACCTGTGGAGTGGAGCCTACAGTCATACCGGCTGGGCTCCCCTCACTCTCCTGCCTGTGCTCGGCTCCCTGCTGTAGCAAGTGTTCTCCGTGGCACATGGGGACGGGCCGGCAAGCCCCACACCAGCACCTCTCATTGCAGACACCATGCAGAGCCTTCCTGTGGTGCCTGCTCATTCCACAGGAAATGCCGGTGGCCCTCCCTGGGCCCTGCCTGTCCTGGAGCAGAGGCTGCTGCTCCCGCAGGAGGGCACCCTCTCAGCACCCACGGCGCATGGAGGCGTAGTGGGGACACACCGTGGGGCAGAGACAAAGCCAGTGTTGGAAGGTTTTGTTCCATTAGGTCAGAGTATCCTGGGACCCTCCGTGTGCCTGTGTCAGTCTGTGAGTGTTTCTCGTGGTGAGAGGACAGGGCCGGTGGCCATCGTGTTCCACCTCCCGCTGTGGAAATGGGAGCGGCGGCTCAAGAGCTCGGGGGACCCACTCCCGGTGCCAAAGAGGGAAGCGGACAGGACCCTGCGCCTCTGTGAGCGCAGAAGAGGCTCCGACACGGGTGATCCCTCTGCCTCGCCACCTCCTTACACAGGTGATGGGGTGGCGGGGGCAGGCGTGTCCACCCCACGCACAGGAACTGAGTGGGCGGCCTGCTCCAAGCCCCGCCCTTTCCACACCTGTGAGGTAGGAGCACCGAGTCAGAATGAAGCGTCTGAGCGAAGGTGGTCCTACACGTTAGGTGTAGTCTTGCGGCATCATTTCCATTGACCACTACTCTGCAGACTCATAAAGAGCTGCTGCTGTTCACTCACTGGGATGAACGGCCCGGGGAGCTGACGGACTGAAAGACGGAGGTGACTCCTCAGATGTCCCTGTCCACGCTCAGGGCCAGTGCTTCTCACAGAAAGCAGGTCCCTCCTCTGGATGGCCCGTAGTTGGCACGACAGGCCTCCGTTTGCAGAGTGGGCAGCTGGCTGCTCGCAGGGTCCTTGTGTGTGAGCGTGGCTGCGTCTCCAGAGTGGAGGGTCACTACAGATCTCTCCAGCTGTGTCAGGCTCTTCAGACCAGTGAGAACGAACAGGTAGTCATTTCCGGTCATCGTTCTAGAAAACCCACGTTAGAAGAATCAAGAGCTGGAGGCCATTTCCAGAAATAGCTGGTGGTTCAGGGCTACACCCTGAGGGAGTTGTCACTGAGATGCTGGACTCAGACCTGTCTGTGTTTGCTCCCTGGAGGTCCGGGCTGTCTGGTGAGAGTCACCTTTGAAGGTGACCGTGCTGCCACCGCTGTTCAATAACACATCTCTCCTTGCACGCAGCTACGTGGTAAGCGCCGGGCTGATCGACAAGCTGTGCGGCTGCTTCCTATCGGTGCAAGGACCGGTGGAGGAGAGCCCCAGGCTGGCCGCCCTGCTGCAGCACGCCACGGGACTCCTGCAGGGCGCCTGCGCGCTGTGCTGGGCCGTCACCGCCAGGTAAGCGCCTCTCTGGTCCTCCCACGGATCCTGTGAGTGTCTCCCACAATGTGCCCTCCCTGCTCACTTCCTAAGGAGACAGGGGTCACCTTGACTCTTCTCGTCTTCCTCCTGCTTCTGTCCTTATTGGCTTCCATGTTGACATTTGGCTACAGCCTCCCATCAGAGTCTTTTCTCCTGGTTGGTGTCATGAACTTGACTGTCATGGCTGGAGAAGATGTGAGAGGCCAGGCCCTCCTGCACCGGGATGGAGAGGGTCCCTAGTTCTGAGTCAGCGGGTCCGTGACAGAGCCTCGGCCAGGCCTCCTGCACCAGGATGGAGAGGGTCCGTAGTTCTGAGTCAGCGGGTCCATGACAGACCTAGGCCAGGCCTCCTGCACTGGGATGGAGAGGGTCCCTAGTTCTGAGTCAGCGGGTCTGTGACAGAGCCTCGGCCAGGCCTCCTGCACCAGGATGGAGAGGGTCCGTAGTTCTGAGTCAGCGGGTCCGTGACAGAGCCTCGGCCAGGCCTCCTTTACCAGGATGGAGAGGGTCCGTAGTTCTGAGTCAGCGGGTCCGTGACAGAGCCTTGGCCAGGCCTCCTGCGCTGGGATGGAGAGGGTCCCTAGTTCTGAGTCAGCGGGTCCGTGACAGAGCCTCGGCCAGGCCTCCTTTACCAGGATGGAGAGGGTCCGTAGTTCTGAGTCAGCGGGTCCGTGACAGACCTAGGCCAGGCCTCCTGCACTGGGATGGAGAGGGTCCCTAGTTCTGAGTCAGCGGGTCCATGACAGACCTAGGCCAGGCCCTCCTGCACCAGGATGGAGAGGGTCCGTAGTTCTGAGTCAGCGGGTCTGTGACAGACCTAGGCCAGGCCCTCGTGCACCAGGATGGAGAGGGTCCCTAGTTCTGAGTCAGCGGGTCCGTGACAGACCTAGGCCAGGCCCTCCTGCACTGGGATGGAGAGGGTCCGTAGTTCTGAGTCAGCGGGTCCGTGACAGAGCCTAGGCCAGGCCTCCTGCACTGGGATGGAGAGGGTCCGTAGTTCTGAGTCAGCGGGTCCGTGACAGACCTAGGCCAGGCCTCCTTTACCAGGATGGAGAGGGTCCGTAGTTCTGAGTCAGCGGGTCCGTGACAGAGCCTCGGTCAGGCCTCCTGCACCAGGATGGAGAGGGTCCGTAGTTCTGAGTCAGCGGGTCCGTGACAGACCTAGGCCAGGCCTCCTGCACTGGGATGGAGAGGGTCCCTAGTTCTGAGTCAGCGGGTCTGTGACAGACCTAGGCCAGGCCCTCCTTTACCAGGATGGAGAGGGTCTCTAGTTCTGAGTCAGCGGGTCCGTGATAGAGCCTTGGTCAGGCCCGGCCAGGCCCTCACCACCACAAAAGCATAGCTCCTCGGACACACGTGTCCCATGGGCATAAGTGCAGTTAGTGTGCCCGGGACTTCTGCTGGCTGGTTGGCTCTTCAGACGCCAACCTGTGGACTATCCTCAAAACAGCAGTTGTCCAGGAGGGCCTGTGCCCAGAGGGGTCATTGAAGGTGCCCGTGGGCGTCTCTCACAGGAGCGGGGGAGCGTGGCGGGAAGATGCTGAGAAAGGGCCTGGCAGGTGACGGTGCCCTCGGCCCCTGGAGGCCACCTGCAGCGCCTCCCTGCACCCCTCTGCTCGGTCTGAAAGCTGCACAGTGCAGAGCTGGGCGAGGGGCAGAGGAGCTGTCTGAGCGATGCAGGTGCACCTGGGGCCTTGAGAGAGACTGGAGCTGCGGAAGCTGCCGGGGTTGTTTCGGTGGAGTCACAGGACCACGTTTCCGTTACAACATGGCCAGTCCTGAGAAGTGAGCGCGGGACTGGTGGCAGGAGCCCAAGGTGGCAGGAATGCTGGGGCCCTGCAGGTGCAGGCTGGGCCCTGGGTGTGTGGGCCAGAGTGGATGTGGGGCCCTGGGGGCGTGGGGCAGAGTGGACGTGGGGACCTGGGGGCGTGGGGCAGAGTGGACGTGGGGACCTGGGGGCGGGGGGCAGAGTGGACTTGGGGGCGCTGGGGGCATGGGGCAGAGTGGACGTGGGGCCCTGGGGGTGTGGGGCAGAATGGACTTGGGGACCTGGGGGCAGGAGGCAGAGTGGACTTGGGGACCTGGGGGCGGGAGGCAGAGTGGACGTGGGGACCTGGGGGCGGGAGGCAGAGTGGACGTGGGGACCTGGCCTGGCTTGGGTGACAGGTGAAGGTGGGGGCAGTCCAGAATGACTCCCAGGTGTGTGACTTGGAATTTCAAGACAGTGTAAGGAGTTTTGCATAGAGGCCCTCCTGGACATGCCTACGGGTTATCCAAGCAGACTGAAGTCTGTACATACTTGTGTGCATGTATGTATGTATGTTTTATATATAAAAGTGAAGTGTGTGTGTGCACAGGTGCAGAGAGAAGTGTAATTGTGTTTGTGTACCCATGCAACTGGGTTTGTTTTTTTTTTATCCTCACCTGAGGACACCCTTTCATTTTTTTGTTGTTGTTGTTCAGATAGAGCAGGAGGGGGAGAGAGAGAGAGAGAGAGAGAGAGAAACATCGATGTGAAAGGGACACATCGAGTGGCTGCCACCCGCACGACCAACCAGGGCCGGGGACAAACTGCAACTGAGGCACGCGCCCCCAGCGGAAACCGAACCCGGGTCTCTCCAGATCGCAAGCCGACGCTCCAACCGCTGAGCCAAACCGGCCAGGGCGCAACTGGGTTTTTAAATAAATCAATAATTAACTCTTGGTGGTTGTTAAGAATTCTTACTTTTTTTAAATCCTCACCCAAGGATATTTTTCCATTTTTTGTTCAGATAGAGTGGGAGGGAGAAAGAGGAAGAGAGAGAGAGAGAAACATCGACGCGAAAGCTACACATGGAGTGGCTGCCACCCACACGACCCAACCGGGGCCAGGGTACCGAGGTACATGCTCTTAGTGGAAACCGAACCCGGGTCTCTCTGGACCGCAGACCGACGCTCTCACCGCTGAGCCAAACCGGCCAGGGCACCATTGATATTTTTTTTTAGAAAGAGTGAAAGGGAGAGAGGTAGGGAGGGAGAGAGCAAGAGAAACATCGATGTGAGAGAGACATATCAATTGGCTGCCTCCTGCACGACCCAGACTGGGGCCCAGGATCAAACCTGCAACCCAGATATGTGCCCCTGACCCGGGATCGGACCTGCAACACTTCAGTGCACAGGCCAGTGCTCCAACTGCTGAGCCACACCGGCCAGGGCTTAGGATTTCTTAATTTGTTCTTCCCAGTGTAATTTTCTTCTTTGACCTCAATTACTCAGCCAATTTCTGTTAGTAAGCCCTGCTGCAAAAGCAGATTATCCTAGAGAAAGGTCCAGGTGGTTTCCCGGCTTAATGTTCCTAGGAGAGTCTTAGCAGTGGCCCCTGGCGCTGCTCTCCTCTCCCTTCAGTCTCCAGCATTTCCTGAGCCCAGCAGCCCCGGAGAGCAACTCTGTCACTCACAGACCACGTTGCTCTGTTCCCCTTTCTTTGTGATGAATGTATTTCTGGACTGGACACTACAGCCACCTGTCGAAAGCACTTCCTTAGCGTGTGACACAGAGTCTCGGCACATCTGGGGAGAGACGAGTGTGGTGGTGATGTTAGGACAATTCACAGGACCCATTTGGGCTGCCGAGCTTGCAGAAAGTGTGTCCTCAAAGTCCGTTGGTGACCAGCCGGAATGAAAGACAAGGAGCCAGAGGCCTTCCAAAACCGCCTCTTGTGCGCTGGCCACTCCGAGATAATTGGGCGCCTACCTGAGAGCGAAGGGCTTTGAGTAAACACCGCCTCTGCTGGTGGCCGCCTTTGTGGCGAGATCACCGCAGGGCTGCCTCCGCGCTGCGCCATTGTGCCCTAATCCTCTCATTGCTGCCCGGTTTCCTGAGACACTTGGGTGTCGGGGCTCATCTGGTAATCCTTGCTGCAGGATGACGGGGCACTGCTTGGTTTTGAACAGTGAACTTGCATTTCTCTAAGTAAAAGTGGAAATTTTGATCTTCATATAGGAGGACTGATTTTGTGTTAGGATTACTCCATAATTTTATACAGGAATTATTCACAAACTATTCTTCTTCATCCCTTAAACAGATTTAACAATCTGCAATAGGGCTTTCAGAAACGCCTATTTCTTTGGCCTTCACTATTACCTGCTTTCCATTCTTGGTCCTACAAGAGGAAAGCATTGTTTTCAAATTCCAGGGAGGGCCTCGCAGAGGCACCCCACGGGCGGGCTCCTCAGCCCCACTGACAGGATCAGCTTGGTCCTGAGGGGTTGTGAATCACCGCCAACAAGGCCTTCCGCTCAGTCAGCACCAGGCTCCAGAGCAAATGGGCCAGCACCTGGGGTCCACCGTCAAGGAGGCCACAGCCTCCCAGGAGCAGCCTGGGAGTCCCAGCCCGTCTGACTGGTGAGGACTGTCCTGAATTCTGGAGATCTCTGCACATTTGTCACTGTGTGCATTTGTGGTTTTCATTTTCGTGTCCGTCAGCTACACTAACAGAAGGGGCTCTAGCCAGGACTCCTGGAAACCTGTGTCATAGAGGGAGAAGAGTGTCAGCTATCCCATCAATTACGTGGTGTACATGAGCGCCTCTCATGTGTTCAGGGGGCTGGAAATCCAGAAGGTAAACTTGGACTCTGCCGCCTGATGATTCATTCACGCACTGGACAGCGTTCGGCAGCGCTTGCTCTGTGCCAGGCCCTGTGCTGGGCGTGGAGAAGCCCGGTGACTCAGACAGCTGTCCCGTCCTCACGGACCTTGTGGGGCAGGGTGGAGCGGGAGGGGGCAGTGGGGCAGCTGCGGGCGGAGTGCGGAGGGGAGAGCCCTCTGTACTGAAGGAAGTGGCTGTTCTGTGGAGCAGCTGACACCTCACCTGGGCCTGGAGAGAGGAGGGCACATGTAGATGTGAGGAAAAGGTACACGGGGGAAAGACATAATGAAAGACATAATGAAAGACATCAAGCAGAAAAATGTGAAGAGTAAGCAGGTAGAGGACTGACTTAGCTGGGCTTTGAGATGTGTGTCGTGTGATTTGGTGCCTCCCAGGTGGCTGTGAGGTTCAGCGAGATGTAAATGTGGAAACAGCGCACGAGCTGCTGAAAGTGACCGCGGAGATGAGCGGTAGTGTCACTAAACCCTCCATCGGGACCTGAGGTGCCAAGAACCACGCTTTGGGGGCCCGGATCCAGAATTGCGTGAAGCCTGGACTGCAGGGTGGGTAGAAGGGAGAAGGGACCACTGACTGTCACCTGGGCAGGAGGCAAAAGGAAGGGGAAGAACTTTTAAAATCCTCTCCTGGTCTCTGTAGAATGAGTGTCCATCTCCCAGGCGTCCGTGCAGTGTAGACTCGGCCTCTGGCTCGTCTCTCGTCCTCGTGCCCCAGATCTGGTCTGCCCCACGCCTTTCCCCGGAAGGTCTTACAGGCGCCTCGATCCAGACTTCCCTGCGGTTTGACTCTCAGTGACCTCGTCCACGGGGTGTGAGCGTGCGTGTCACGGGGAGCTTGTGACTGGCAAAGGGAGCCTGTTCGGTGGTCGATCGTTTCGTGCCTGAGCCGCCTCCCTGAGCCAAGCTGTGGGGGGCCCACTGCCGCCTGTCAGTGCCAGGCCCCCGGCTCCTCAGCCGTGAGCAGACTGTTCTGACCTCGCCCTGCCCCCCGAACTCCTCTAGTCTTCCCCGTTCTCTGCTTTCTCCTCCCGGCACTATGACTGGGAACAAAGTGCTCCAGGATTTAGAGATTCTTCTCTCAGCGTCTGTGCCAGGAATCCTGTCAGACCCAGGGAGCATGGCTCAGCTTTGTTCTCAGCTTTGTTCTCGGCGTCCGGCCTCTGCTGGAGGACTTGAAGGCTGGGGGCCGGACCATCAGGCCCTGCTCACACATTGGTGGTTCACGTGGCTCTTCGGTGGAGACTGTCCCGTATGGGGTCTTGCGTGTCTCCTTTGAGGACACGTGTACAGTGGCCCTGGTTCCGGAACCTCGGGGGCAGGACCTCAGGAGGGGAGCCTGTGTTCCTGTGTTGGAGACTCGGGAGACCTGGGCGCAGCTCCGCTCGCCAGCTCTCAGCCCTGGCGGACTCGAGCTTCAAGCCTGTTTCCGCTCCTATAAAGGAGATTGTCCATCTTCCCTCGTGGGCTGGGGCAGGGCAGGGCCAGGAGCGGACTGACCATGTCCCCAAATCTTTATAAAGGAGATTGTCCATCTTCCCTCATGGGCTGGGGCAGGGCAGGGCCAGGAGCGGACTGACCATGTCCCCAAATCTTTATAAAGGAGATTGTCCATCTTCCCTTGGGCTGGGACAGGGCAGGGCCAGGTGGGGACTGACCATGTCCCCAAATCTTTATAAAGGAGATTGTCCATCTTCCCTTGGGCTGGGACAGGGCAGGGCCAGGTGGGGACTGACCATGTCCCCAAATCTTTATAAAGGAGATTGTCCATCTTCCCTTGGGCTGGGACAGGGCAGGGCCAGGTGGGGGCTGACCATGTCCCTGACTCCTGCTGCAGGCGCTGTCTCCATGCCTGTCTGTGTGCCCACGGCGTCCAGAGAGGTGGACTGCCTCCTGGGGGGTGGGTGGCAAGGAGGGTTACGGTGTGCGTTTGAAGGTGGCACGATTGACCAATTATAACACAAGAATAAACCATTTCGCATACTCAGGTCTGTGAACTCCCTTTTGCCCCAGTCTGTATACACATTTTCTACTTTCTGTGTATTTTTAAAAGAAAACTTCATGCCTGATACGAATAAGGCCTTTTACCTTTTTTGTTATAAACATTCGGTTTAGAAGTGATGATGGCTGACAGTTAACGGCCAGCAGAAGCCAGCGGCCTCTTAGTGGACAAATTATCTGTATTTCAGACAAAATCAAAAGTAAACACTCTCCCAAGTCCCTTCAGGGCTGCATCAGTCCTGGGGAGTCCAACGCTGCAGCCGGGCCCTGCCCCCACCCCGCACTGGGGGACCGGCAGCCTCTTCGGGGGGCGCACTCTGCCTTGGGACCGGTTGCTTCCACGGCTGGGTTCCTGCTTAAGGAACTGGTTCTTCTGAGAGCCTTTTCCTTTCCTCAAGGGAGGGCCTTGTCCTCTCTGACCGGTGGTGTTTCCCTGACCAGTGGGAGCACTCTGATGACTTTGCTTACTGTTTCTATGCATTATTTTCAAGAGTCACAGCAGTGAGTTCCCGTGTGTAGGTCAAGGACCACAGAGCCTCAGATGTCCAGGCTGTGCTCCCGAGGTCTGCGTGCGCGGGCCTCAGCCACGGGGCAGTGACACTGTCCCTCCTCCCCGTCCCGAAGCCTGTTGGGAACTGGCTTCAGGGAGAAACGTCTCCTGACTTGTCACTGGTTCTCAGAGGCCGTCAGTGCTAAGCAAACACAGACCCCGTTCTGGAACCTGTATAATAAACTCAGACACATTAGCTTCTGCTCACGTCTCCAGTCAGGGCCTGACCCCTAACCCTTGGGCTGTGGGGGAGGGGCAGCGGACGTGCCCACGTGCCCATGAGCAAGTACATGTTATTTCTTAACTTTCTGTGTTCGCTGAGTGCCAGACGGTAGACGGTGTCTCTCCATGGTGGCGCGAGATGACGTTGCAGTCTGTGCGCTTTAATCGTTCAGTTCATCTGAGATCAATGGACCAGAAGGCGTGGAGGGGAAAGTGAGGTCACACTCACAGTCCTCGGTGGGGGTTCCCCGCTTGAGCCACCAGCCAGTCTGTGTGGCCTGGAGCCTGTCGCCTAATCTCTCGGGGTCTCAGACGCGTCGTGTCTGCAGGAAGAGACAGACAGAATGCCAGTGAGGCTGTGACAGACGGAGGGCTGAGGTGAGAGCTGGGGACACCCAGGCCCCGCCGTAGAAGGGGTTACAGTGCGTCCTGGGACCATGGATGTTCAGGAGTCAGTGCTCACTGTGGCTTTGGCTACAACTCTGCCTGGTGCACCTCACAGATCACAGTGAACTGAGTAACCCCTTTGGAGAAAATAAGTTATGATTTAAAAAACAGACAGGATGGACAAACTTGCCGCTGGGACTTCCAGATTTTTAATGAGTGGCAGCTCTTGGGTGCCTCTGGCAAGCTGGCGAGATCTGTCTAGATCTCCACGGCCTCTCCCCCCATCCAGCTTCCAGCTGACTGGACAGCACCAGGGAAGGGAAGTGGGGGAGCCTGTGCGCTGGTAGGGAGCGGACAGGGACCCTTCGTGCCCAGAACAGGAAGACCCCTCTGCGCACACTCGCAGATCAGAGCAGGTTAAGATCCCAAGCAGGGCCTGGTACCTCCGCCCTGAGAAAATGCCTTGTCCCGCGAAGGAAGGGACCGGCCCTCGGAGCTGCACCCAGAGGCCTGAGTGCAGTGCAGGGCTGGGTGCTGGCACAGCTGTAGTCCCCACCGTCAGGCTCAGACTCGGGGAGAACACAAGGGCTTCTAAGTATTTCAGCAGAAGGCTCTCCTTCCATCCTTTGGCTTCAACTGTGACCGTGGTGTCCCTGAACCCCGTGGCGCAGGCAGGGGGCTGAACTGTGCAGAGTACCGGGGGCCTCCACACCTGGAGCCCGCTGGCTAGGAGATGGCAGAGGTGGTTCCTTGGGGAGCAAGCGGGGTGCGGCTTCCAGGAAGCACAGGTGAGTGAGGGTGGGTGCCACTTGTATGGCACTGCAGGTCCTTGGTCAGCAGCTGCTTCCTGTGCCCTGCGTTCGGGATGAGGTGGCCATCTAACCCTGGGGCTGCATGGTGGACCCCAGGAGTTCATGTCCCACCTGCTGGCTCACCCTTGGTGCTGCCCATGGCTGCTCAGCGGACCTCCTGGTCATCTGCGGTTCATGCCGCAGTTGCTTGTTCCAGGGGTCTGCTCCCTCCCGCTAGAGCTCCCTGATGGCGGGCTGCCCGGAGCTACAGTGTCTCCCTGCCACAGGGCCCCGCCACTGGGGCTTTGAAGCCTCGTGCTTTCCTGGCAGCTGCCTCCCCTCAGATTCCCTCTGTGTCCAGAAAGGAAACTGTTGTCTGTGGGCTCCGCATCCCGGCAGTGCTCGTGGACTCTGTTCCTGCAGACCTGCCATCGAAGCCAAGTAGGGCCGCCCGGGCTGTGTCCTCAGCAGCACTCGGGCCTTGAGGGGCTGTTCCCTTCTCCCACAGCTCAGCTGTGTGCTGTTGACAGTCTGCCTGTCTCGTTCCACGTGACCTGTGCACGCGCCAACAGCCTTGGAACAGATTTACACTCGAATGTTTCTTTGTCAGGTCGTACAGCGTGTTTGACAATAACCGCCAGGACCCCACGGGACTGACAGCTGCGCTTCAGGCCACGGACCTCGCTGGAGTTCTGCACATGCTCTACTGCGTGCTCCTCCACGGCGGTGTCTCGGACCCCACCACTGCCAGCCCCAAGGAGACCTACTCCCAGAACACCGTGCAGGTGGCCATCCAGAGTCTGCGTTTCTTCAACAGCTTTGCAGCTCTCGACCTGCCCGCTTTCCAGGTAAGAGCACAGGCTGATGTCGGTGTTGGCCATCCACGCCTTCACGCCTCAGGGCGGACGCCATGTGAGGGTCCCCAGGCTGGGCGTGAGGAGGGGACTGCGATGGGGATGTGTATGTGCCGTTGATCAAACTGTCCCCCGGGAGCTGTGTTGGATGCTCTCCCTGTGTATTTCCGTGAATTCTCGTGACTGTCCTGCAGGTCCTTGTGCACCCATTTCACAGACGGGGAGCTGAGGGCCTGCATGTGGCTGAGTAGGTTGCTGCTCTGATTCTGTCTCTGCCACGTACAAGCCTCTGTCTCGATTTCTTTAGATGAGGGTGTGATCATCCCATCAACTTTTTTTTTTTTTTTTTATCCTCACCCGAGGACATTTTTTCTATTTTTTGTTCAGATAGAGTGTGGGAGGGAGAGAGAGAGAGAGAGAGAAACATCGACGTGAAAGGGACACGTTGAGTGGTTGCCACCCACACGACCCAACCAGGGCCGGGGACAAACTGCAACCGAGGTATGTGCCCTTAGCGGGAACCGAACCCGGGTCTCTCAGGACCGCAGGCTGACGCTCTAACCGCTGAGCCAAACCGGCCAGGGCCCATCAACTTTTAATATTAAGGAAAGTAATGGTGTTTTTATATACACAGAACCAGAATTAGATAAATTGTTTTGATTGATAAGACTTCCTATGGATGATTTAATTGATTGTGTCCAGTGTGCAGGGCCTGTGTAGTTAAATGTGCAAACCCCTGTAAAGTTTTATAGCTAAAGAAAGAAAAATTGCTTTATGCTAGAACATCAGACTATCAACTTAGAAACAGTTTTTTTTTAATGTAGGAAATTTAATTTTCAAAAACACTGAGGCTTTAGAACAGAGCAAGCCCCAAGGAGTAGACTTTCTCTTTCAGTTTATTAACTGTCAAGTGATTTCATTAAAAAAGGAGTACGCTTGGCAGATGATGGACCCATAATGTAGATGGATTGCTTTGCTAGAGGGAGAGGTTATGGAGATACAAATGTGTGGAAAGTGGTCTTGCCATTCTGAGAGAGACTTCTGTTTTGTAGCCAGTGACAGATGTGCCGTCCTGGTCTTCCTGTCTTGGTGTCACCACAGGAAATTGGCAGATTTGTTGTACCATCAGATTCGGCACCCTTTCACTTGGCAGAGTTCGCTTATCCACCAGGAGAACTGGAATCTCTTCCTCGGGGGTCAGTGCTTCTCCGTTTTCAGAGCAATGGCAGCAGCCATAGGTGGTAACCACGCAGTACAGGCCATTCTGAGGTTATAGCCCCGCACAGACGGGCTCCTCCGCTCGAGGGTCCTCCCTGGACGGAGCGTAGCATCCGTGGTTTATGAAGACCAAGCCCATTGTGTTTGTGCTGCCTGGAAACAGTCTGGAAACCAGGAAACACCAGTTTCATGTCCTCGGAGTGCAGAGACCAGCAGTCTCTCCACCACTTTGCTCCAACTGGGGTGACTTCCTTTGTCACCAGGCATTAGGAAAAGCAAATACCTAAGAGCTGTCCCTTAGCTTCTTGTTTCACGGGTCCTGTAGCGAGGATTAACGGCCTTGGTGTGCCCCCCACAGATGAGCTTGGTGACCACATCGGTCGTTCCTCTAAGCGCCAGGGCTGCAGACCCCGCCTCCGGAGCTCTGGGTGCGTGCAGCCTGCCCCACGGGCGCACCAAGCCCCACCAGCTGACTGAGTGGCCTTCGGGCACAATGGCCAGTAATACTAGAAAAACCGAAAGCTTACTTCCAGAGCCCTTGTGCCAAAGTAAGATAAACACCAAGATTTCTCCTCGCTAGCTCTTTGCCATGTCCGGCCCAAAATGTAGGCCCTGCTTGGGCCTCTTTTGCCAGAATCGGCGGGGAGCCCCAGGTGACTAATGGTTCCCGAGGTGCCCCCGTGTGCCGAGTGCCATCCAGCCTGGTTCCCAGCAGCCTCTGCACCGCCGCTGTCCTCCGGGCAGCTCCGCTGTTCTCGTCGCCCTTCCTCCTGCCTTTCTTCCTGTGCTCTGACTCTGGTCTCTTTCAGTCACCTTTGCTGTCAGTGTCTCCTCTCCCCGTGCTGTTCCCAGGTGCCTTTCCCCCAACCGCTGATGGTCGGGAGGCCTACGGGTCGTTGGCCTGGCTGCCACCCTGTTGGTGCCCAGGCCCAGTGTGTGTTCTCTCTTGGCCCCTCAGCCTGTGGGGACCCAGGTGCCCGTACTTCTAGCATCAAGGCCTTGGGTGCATCTGCCAACAGTTACCTGATTGTTGCCGTTTCTTTTGCATGTTTAGAAAAAACAAACAAACTTTTAGTGGGATAAACAGCGGCTTCTGCTGAGGGGCCTGAGCGATGGGAGTGTGGACGGGGCGGTGGACTCCAGGGCAGGAGCTGGAGTTTCGTGGAGGCCCCTTCATGTGCAAGCTTGATCCCTGGGTGACTCCGAGCTGGGTTCACTGCGGTCTGTTGGCCAGAGACTCGACATACAGCTTCCTGTGTGACACGGCTTCTCAGAGCATCGTGGCTCTGGGTTCCAAGTGGAGTGTCCTGAGAGGAAGGGTCCGGAAAGCAGGTGTTCTAAGACAGGCGTACAGACGCGCATGGCTCTTTGGGACCTGGCCCGGCCATCAGGTGGTTACCTAGCCATCATGCCCTCCCTCGTGGTTGTTCATCCTAAGCCTTCTGGAAGACAGAGGCCCATGTCTCGGTGCAGGGACTGTCACAGATGTCGTCCTCTCCCACCACAGCTGTCTGCTAAGCTAAAGCAGAACATCAGTCCGCACAGAACGCCCTGATGTGGGCATTGCCCCGCAGGCAGAACTCAAGTGCATGGACACAGATCAGAGCACTGGAGAGCAGTGGGGATGTGGGGGAGAAAAGCGCCGTGTTCACGACAGCTGGGGCCAGAGGCACTGGTCTTCTAGTCCTCCGAGCAATGGGCACATCCAGTGTGGGCATTCTCGGAACTGCCTGTGACGGACAGGGGGACGGTGGTGCCGCGTGGGGCCGACCTCAGAGGAGCCGGGAGACCACATAGGAGGGCTGGCAGGGTCCGGGACTGCAGATCTGACCTGCTGCACAGTCAGCCCGGATGGTGTCCGCCTCGGTGCCCAGGAGGAGGCAGGCCCAGCACAGCAGGACCTGGACGCTGCCAGCCCTGGCCCTGAGCCGTCAGCGCCGGGTCGGACAGCCTCAGACAGCTCACCTGAGCCCTTAAGGCTCAGATTCTCACCTGAGAAGAGGGGGCAGAAACATCTAACTCCCCAGTCGGAGGGTCGCATGGAATGACATCAGGGGCCGAGCTGCCAGCAGAGTAGGCCCTGACGGCTCGCAAGGTGCTGTGTGCCTGGCTGAGGGATGGTCATCGGGACTCCGGCCGTGACTCTCCCAGCTGGCCCCAGCCCTGAGCATTGAGAGGCTGTCGGCGCGGGATCCTCAGCAACACGGGATTCATGTCGGCACAGCTGGCCCGAGAGCCCGGATGCTGTATATTGCGTAGTCTGACATTTTCACAATTGAACGTGGTCTCAAGAAACAAATCAGTGTACTGACAAGACCATTAATTCTGGCTAAAAAGGAAATATAGGTTCCCTGAAAAATTGGTTTAATTTTTATATCCACACTTTCGTGCCCCTTGACCTACTCTTATCAGTGAAGGTTAAACAGAGGGTGCTGGGTCACAGCATGCTGGACGTCACTAATTAAATAAGGGCTGAGCTGAGAAGGTGTCACTGCTTGATTTAAAGGAGCAAAGGCCTGCTGAAGTCTCTCCAGGGCCCGGAAACCTTTGTCTCGGGCCGTGACGCTGGGACGGGGGACGGGTCAGCAGTGGTTCTGTTTCCACAAGAAGGACTGCGCTCCGCCCCCCGCCAGGCAGTGTGTCCCTGAAACTCAAGCCGCCACTCCTCTGACCTCTCCAGCCAGCTGAGCCCTCGAGCCCTCATTTGAGACAGGGGTTTCCAGCGCTGCCCTCTGCCCCCAGCCGTGTTCCCCCGCGCTGCGAGCTCCCGTCGTCTGCCCTCCTGTCCCGTCTGTCGTGTTTATTAAATAGAAGCTCCTCCCGCGTGCCCACTGCCCACCGCGTGCCCACTGCCCACCGCCTGCGCCTATCTGCAGAAAGGGCCTGGGAGCCCAGAGCTGGGGTCGTGGTTTGTTGGGGGGACAGGTGGGTGAGCCGTGGGTTTACAGATGTGTGTGTATCTGAATCGGAGCTGGTTATTTCTGTTTCCTTCCTATTTGAACAGAAGTAAATAATTAGAACTGTATGTGTATCCCTGTGTACAAGAAAACATTTTCTTCTCTAGAGGAAAAAAAGTATTGGAAGTCAGCTAAATGGTAGATTTACAGGTGATCTTTAGTATTTTGATATTTTTCTCATTTTTTTCACAGTGAGATTATTTGCACAATGAAGGAAAAAAAATTGGGTCTGCTATGCTCCATTTACTGTCCTTTTCAGGTTAAGCTTTGTGATTAGCGTACTCATGTGTTAGCACAGTGAGCCCTGAAGTGCTGCGCTCTGGAACCTGGGAGCAGGCGGGGGGAGGGGGTGTCACACTGTGCGTGGGGTCCCTGCCCCTGCGGGGTTCTCATGGCTCCTCCTCTTCCAGTCCGTCCTAGGGGCCGAGGGCCTGTCCCTTGCGTTCCGGCACATCGCCAGCTCCCTCCTGGGCCACTGCAGCCAGGTCTCCTGCGAAAGCCTGCTCCACGAGGTCATCGTCTGCGTGGGTTACTTCACTGTCAACCACCCCGATAACCAGGTAAGAGGCCGGGGGTTCCTGAGCCTGGCTGCCAGCGCTGAGAGCGTGAGGTACGGTTCTCGAGTCCCTGACTTCTCCCAGAGACTGGGTCGGCACTCGGTCGGCACCAGCCTGCTCGTGCAGCTGTGGAAGTGAGACACTTGAGTGAGGTTCTCGAGCCACCCAGCATCTGCTCCCCGCACGTGGACCCCATGTGTCCGTGCAGGTGTCCTTCTGAGGGCAGAGTGCGTCTTTCTGCTGTGGTCACTTTGCAGGAAGTCCAGTCGGGTGCTTTATGACGCTCCCAGCCCAGGCCTCAGCCTGACGTGGAGGCTGCCGGGGGTGGGGGGGCGCCTGGGAAGGGGGCCTGGAGCTCTCCCCCTCAGTCACCAGAGCAGTGTTGTTTTTAATTCTTTTGACTATTTGGTTTTTGAGCAGAATTTCATGCGTACATTGGGCTCTGCTGCTGTAAGAAGTAGGGTCTGTGTTACTGTGTGAGAGAGTCATGAAGTTCTGTGTTTCACTTTCTTTGAACTAGAGTTATGGCATAAAGAACATCAAATAGTAATCACCGGCATGCTCATTTATCTATCTTTCTTTAAATACTGTTACTGACTTTCATTTTTTAGAGAGGGAGAGAGAGAAAAACATCGATCAGCTGCCTCCTGCACGCCCCTCATGGGGGATTGCGCCTGTAACCCGGGTACGTGCCTTGACTGGGAGTCGCACCGGGACCGCTCAGTCCATAGGACAGCGCCCAGTCCACTGAGCCACACCGGCCTGGAAATCGTTTTTCATCTTACACCTGGAAGGTCACACTTTCCACCCACCCGCCACCCCTCTGCGAATGTCGACGCAGCTGAGGTCGCACCGCATACGCACTCACGTCCAGCTTCACACGGCCTTTTGTCGAAATCGTTCTTTGTGAATGTCACTTCTAACGTTTGGCTGGCCTGTGGCTGACCAAGCAGCTTCCTGGTGCAGCTGGCTCCGTGTCACCGGGACGCAGTTGTGAAGAGGCGAGGGGTCAGTATGTGAAACTGCTGGTTGTTCTGTCAGCAGAGAAGTGCAGTTCTGGGTAAGCGTGCTGTAGCAAACACCACAGGTGAGTTGAGCAGACAGATGCGAGGAAGGTCATTTCACAGGGAAACGGGCGGAGGCGGGAGGTGTGCTTTGAAGAAAAGCCCACTGGAGACCAAGAGCTCAGGTGGCGATGCTTCTCCATGCGGAGCTGCGAGGTTCCCATTGGCTGGCTTGTTGCTGGGCGAGGAGGAAACCTTCCTTCTGCTGGTGTGGCGGACACTCCACGGGCAGCACAGGGTCTGTGCATGGTGCTGAGCAGTGGTGAGGCTGCCCCCAGGCCGCAGACGCCCCTGCACGTGAGGTTCCTTCACTGCGGCCAGCACGAGGACAGGTTCCAGCTGCGCGCAGACAACTCCAGTGATGATCTGCTGAGCTTGACCTGTGTGGGCTTTCAGTTTTCTGCCGACGCTGGGTCCTAGACGGACCCGTCCTGTAGCGAAAGGCTTTTCACCCTGAGCGCTGAGCTCGCCAGAGAGGACGAGAAGTGGGATGGGGTGCTGGTGTTTGCAAGTGCCTGTGACAGCCGACCTGTGGCTATGGAACAGGTGGGCATGTGGGGACAGAACACGAGCACATGAACAGCGCGAGGAGACGGCCCTGTGCTGGCCAGGTGGAGTTGGGGTCGTTGTTGAGAGCTGAGCTCACTGTGAGGAAGAAATCAGAGAGGAGAAAAAAGCCAGAGGACTGAAGACTAAGCTGACAGCACTTCTGACTGGGGGAGGGCAGAGAAGCCAGTTCTGCCCTGAGGCAGTTGCTGGGCTGAGACGCCACACCTCATGGAGATCTGCTTCTGAGATAACCCGAGGTCTGGGATGTTCTCCCGTCCGCTGTCTCCCTCCTTTCAGTGGGCGTGAGTGCAGGCGTCCGTGTGCCTGTGGACAGCTGCGCAGTCGGGACCGAGGGGTGACGCAGCCCTGAGGACAGAAGGACACTGAGACCAGGACTCGACCCCGGTCTTTCACAGCCCAGCTGTGCAGTCCTTTCTTGTGGCCACGTCGATCGGATGTGCCACAGCCCCATCTCCTGGTAGACCCTGAAGTGCACCCGGGCGGGAGGGGCATAGCCGGCAGTGCCTGTGTGCCCAGACCTGGAGAAGCTGCCATTCTGCAAGCCCGTGCTGACTGGGAGCTTCCGGGGCACGCTGTGCCTGGCCCATGGCTCAGAGACCCTGGGGACGGTGAGTGTGTGTATGACGAGACAGAGGCCCAGGCTCCAACCCCAGCTCCGTCACTAGCTGTGTGGTCTCCGAAGTCGTGCTCCCTTCCAGGCCTGAGCACTGCAACAAAACTGAGAGGCAGATGGTCTGGAAGTGGCGGTGATGGGGGCACAGTGTTGTGACTGTTCCAAGATTACTGAATCGTAGGCTTGACCGTGCTGAGAATGGTGAGGTCCGTGTTGCATATCCTCACCACAGCAAAAGAGGCTTTAAACAGTGGGTACAGGACCGTCTCCGCCGTGAGCTCTGATGTTTTAAAGGCTGTGGCTGGCACCACAGACGGGCCAGCATTCTGGTCTCCCAGGGACTCGCACCCCATGGGTGTTCAGGTACTGCCGTGCTCCAGGTCCTGCCCGCCTGTGGCCCTCGTTCTTACAGGCCAGATGCCTCTCGGCTGCCCTGTTAAGAGAGGGGTGAGCGCAGGCGGGTGAGATGGCAGGTGCCTGGTCCTGTGATGCCCTCTGGAGCCACCGCGGACTCACCCGCCCTCTGGACTGCATTGAAGAGCGAGAGCGGGAGTAGCCTGAAGCTTGCTGAGGGGTCGCTGCTCGTGTCCCAGGAGAGCTGGGGAGTTTTCCATAACTGAAAAGCTGATGGTTCATTCTCCTTCTAAAACCTTGTCTCACTGAACTCTGTGTGCTCCCCCAAACCCAGCAATTCGCGAGTGTTTGTGGGGGCGTGCAATGAGTGCAGACTCAGTCCCGGGCGGCTGCACCTCCCCCTGCACGAGCCTGGTTGGGTCCCTGGCGCTGCGGGTGGACAGACAGGCCCGCCTCGCCTGTCTCTGTACAAGTGAGGGTCCAGCTACGCACTCTAGAAAAGAGGGATTTTAGAGAGAGTGCAGCACTCGGCGTGTGTGGCGTTTCTGTGCGTTTGCCAGCAGTCTCGTCTCTGCAGTCTGTCCATAGGAGAGCCTGTTTCCTGTGTGGAAACAGAGTGGCCCCACGGACCGGGCGCCCTGGGCTCCTACGCGGCCCCACTGACAGGACTGGGCGCCCTGGGCTCCTGCGCGGCCCGTGCTGCACAGGGTCAGCCCCCGTTCAGTCTTAACTGGCAGGGTGGAGTTCCTGATGCCCAGGGAGACCACCAGACAGCCCTGGGGGGCAGAAGGCCCCTGCGTGTGGGACAGTCCCCTCTCCTCGGGGCAGCAGTTTCTGATGAAAACACTCACTTAAATCAAAAGCGTGCTTCTACTCGATGGCACTGTCAGGACCCTTTGTTTCTTCCCGTTTAATTATTATAATGAATCCACTTAGCATGTAGCGTGAGCCCTTCGCTCATTTACATTTTATATTGGACGATTAAATGTGGCCTGATAATTAAATTAGCTGCAGTGACAAATGGTGGCCCTGCCTGCGCACTGCCACGCGGGGATGAGCGCTCCGCACGTTCACGCCAGGCAGCGGCTGGCGGGCTCCCGTGGGAAGACCCTGGGCTCGCAGCTGTCGGCGGATCTCAGGAGAGAGGCAGGGAAGGGCCCACCATGAGCCCATCCTGCACGGCGGCTCTGCCGGCCAGGGGCTTCTGCAGGCTGCTGCAGGCAGCCAGGGAGCTGGACCGGAGGCTCTGACCGTGACGGGCATTTTCCAGATCTTTGTAATTTGGTAATTTAGTAAGAAAACCCAAACATTCATCAATGAACTGTCCCTACAATGTCTGTTCTCGCCCCAGCCGTTGCCCTGCAGACGCACACACGGCCCCTGCCCATCACCCCGTCACTGCACGCACGCACGGCCCCTCCCTGTCACCCACGCACGCAGGGCCGCTCCCCGTCACCAGCGCTCTACTGTCGGGCAGCCGGGGCCTGCTCAGACATTCCTCCTGCACCTTTTTGCTCTCAAAGGTGGAGCATCCTGGTGAACCGTTAGGTGAACCGCCAGCTCTGTGCACGCTGCAGGGAGTTGCCATGGGCTCAGTGGGGCCAGCGGCAGGCCGTGCTGCTCTCACCGTGAGCGTGGGTGGCGCCCTGGTGCCGGCACACAGGCACTGCTGTCTTCTCTCCGTGTGCACACATCCCGTCCCGTTCATGTCAAACATCATGTCTGCGGAAGGGCCCACAGGTTCAACGACAGAACCATTTGGGAGTTACTCTCACTATTATAGCACCAAAGAAAAATGTGAGTTTCTTCCCCAAAGTAATGCAGTAAATTGCCTAATTAAAAATAGCTTCTGCTTACACATTTATTTTAAGACTTCAGGTGAGCGGCCTGGCTGGTGTTAGGATGGAGAAATTTGCCAGTTAGCAACTTTGGCTGATTGTAGTAAAGTCAGCCGTGTCACAGAGCCTGATGAAAGACCCTCTTCCCTCGTCTCTTTGGTGACTTTCCCAGCACAGGACCAGCTGGAAGGCCGCGGGCTCCCTCCAATGCCTCTGCGCTGCACAGGCCAGCGAGAGGTGAGGGCTCGCACTCTGCCCTGAGACCTGGCGGGAGCCCGCACCCCGGGACCAGCATGGCCAGGGTCCTTGTGCACCTGCCCAGAAGGGAAGTCCCACAGACCCTCCTGCGTGCAGACGCGTGGCCAAGCTTGCAGCGCCCAGACTGACTGACCGCCTGGGCCATCTGCGGCTGGGATTTGAACTTGCCTTTGACAGCACTGAGGGTCATGGCTAGAGGACGAGAGCATAGGCTCTGAGTGAGCAGGCTTGGCCAACCTCTCAGCACTGTGACCTGGGTCCAGTGCTTATGTGGAGGAGGGGGGACAGTGCAGGGCTGGACTTGTG